TCACTCCAATCCGACCTTCCAACTTGCGGGTCGTCCAAATCCGACCTTCCAACTTGCGGGTCGTCCAAATCCGACCTTCCAACTTGCGGGTCGTCCAAATCCGACCTTCCAACTTGCGGGTCACCCAAGTCTGACTCGCAACAGATTCAAGGCAGAAAGTGTCCTGCACCTATTTCTTCGATTCCATCGAGTTCCGCACCTCCGGTTGAGATTTGTGACAGTGTGGATTTGTCCCATTTCAAGATGACCATCAAAGATCGCCTTGGCCCTTCACCCGATGATCGGGGCAAAACTCCGGTCAAAGAGCGCTTAGGCCGATTGAATGAATCTCGAGCACATTGTCAGGCTGGAGGTCGTCATCCTAAGCAGTGGAAGAGAAGGTATAACGGGAAAAGTCCCGTAAATGACCGCATTGGACTGCGTGTTGAAATCCAGGAGCCTGTTGAGGGCCGACATTCACAAAAACGTCGCCTTAGACATGCGACTCCTGAAAATGCTAACAAAGCGTTGTATCCTCAGAAGAAAACGTACTCGTCAGACGAAGACGTTATACCTGGGAAGTCGTGCCAACACACGATAGGTTGCTCCAGTCATCAAACTGACGAGTTGTACTATCAAGCTGGGGGTGCGAACAAATCCAGGAAAATGAGTGCCCGGAAAACAGATTCTCACTGTCCATGTGCCAAAATCATCAAGGCAGTGTTGTCAGAATGTTGCTGTTCCAAGACCACCCCGGAGAGAGTTTCAGTATTTGAAAGAATCTCCACCAAAACGTCTGAATCCAGACCAAGACGTTTCCGAAAGAAGAGAGTTGTTCTCCAAGATGATGAATTTCTAAAAGTATCTGTTAACATGACCGGAAGAGGAAAGTCAACACGACACTTCAGTCCGGATCAGTTCACCGAAGTGTCCCAACGTATGACTCGATTGCGAACAGGGACCAGTAGGCGAAAGAACTACCAAAGAATACAGAAGGGACTTCCTTCAGAAGATGAAACTTCGGAGGTATACTCGGATGCCGGCTCGGATGCTTGCTCGGCGATGGCCTCCGATGACACCGCATCAAGTGCAGGACAGTCTTATGAGTCACTTATGATTAGCACTGAACAGATGGCCAAAATACTTGAGGATGCCCTGACTAAGCAGAAGGAAAACTTCAAGTTCGAAATGGAAATGGCCATGCAGCAGATGAGAGAAATGCATGACCAACAGATTGCGATATTGACAACTCATCAAGGAGAGACTAGCCGTCGTAACAATCCTGACCAAGCTGATAATGATCGAGAAGGGGAGGATAATGTCAACATGAACACCCCTCCCGTCAATAACAATAATGGGGGTGGCCCTTCGGATGATAACAATACGAAAGAGGACCACGTTACCTCTCCCCGAAACCACTCGAAGACAGATACGAGTGAAGACAAGAAGATGAGGGATTTGGAGAGCAAGATCAATGCGTTGATGAATGCTCAGGAAGTGAAAAGGTCTGGAATACCGTGCCCATACCCAAGGGAGTGGGAATCAATCCCGTATCCAGCAAAATTCAATTTGATCAATTTCACGCCATTTGATGGAAAGGGTTCCCCCACGCAGCATTTAATATACTTCAAGTCTCATTTGGGAATAATCTCCGGGAACGAACCTCTGATGGTACGGTCATTCGTCGGCACTCTTCGCGGAGCAGCCTTCGATTGGTATCGCCGCCTCAAGCCGGGGAGCATCGCCAGTTGGGATGACATGGAGGATATGTTTCTCACAAATTTCTTTGACGACGACACTGAGGTCTCGATCGGGACATTATTTGATGAGAAACAAAAGGACGGAGAGTTAGTAGAGAATTTCATTAAGCGATTCCGAAACAAGGCCATGAATTGTAGGGATCCGATTAGTGAAGACTTTATTCTGGAGACTTGTCATAACAATCTTTCATTGGATATTCTTGAAGCTATGGGAATGGCACCATCTAAGACCTGGAAAGACTTGAAGGTCCGAGGGGAAAGAGCCGAACGTTTCCTCAAGAGAAAAAAAGCCGAAAGAGGTCAAACGACGGCACCAGCCCCGCAACAAAATTTTGTCCCTAAGGGAAAAGGGAAAGCACAGGTGAATGCAGTAGATACGAACCAAACATTTGAAGTGCAAGCGCAACTGCAACAGCAGCAGCAGAGGGCGCCTCAACAGTCACGGTGGCAACAACAGCCTCAAAAACAGAAGACTTCGGAACCAAAATTCCCGAAGGTTTACTCATTCAAGGAAGATGAAGTTCCCGGTATTTTTAAATACCTTATAGAAAACAATAAGATTAAGTTGCCGCCAATCCAAGATCAGGAAGACGCCAAAAGGGTTAATGACCCGAAATATTGCGCGTTTCACAGAGCAGTTCACCACCCTACCAAGTCGTGCTACGCCCTTAAGGATAAGATTCAAGCTTTGATTGATGTTGGGGTCATCACTATGAAACAACCTAAGGAGAAGAAGGTGGGTGCAAATGCAGTATCGATTAGCTTCGGTTCTGTTCCCTTGAACTGGTTCCAGCATGAGCCGGTAATAAATGCAACGGTGAAGACCGTGAACGATGATCCTCATAAACAGCGCCAGAAGGGACTTGTACCACACACGGCCCCGAATGGTGAGATTCTTTGGGTTCATCCAGATTTGGTTGGAGATGAACAATGGACCGGAGCCTCTTCCAAAAAGAGGTCAAAAGGAAAAGGTAAGTCTTGTTATGGAGCTTTTGCTATTCCAGGAAAAGACGACGAGGAAATCCCAGCCTTCCCGCTTTCTGAAGATGAACAGGAAGCCTTTGCAACACGGAGTGGGAATGAATATCACTACAAATATCCGGATGCTTCTGAGCAACTAGGAGCAAACAAAACCGTTCCCTCAAAGACGTTGGCAGAACTGGGAATTGTCGCGACTCCCCCAACACCT